TGAGGACCCAGGTGACAAAGTCCATCCCACTATAACTGAAGACATGGTACGTGACCATCGAAGGAATCTGAAGATATACAAGTCCATGGGACCTGATGAGATACATCCCAGAGTGCTGAAAGAACTGGCTGATGAAGTTTCATTGAATTTCACTGAATTTTTTAGAGTTGGAAGGGACCATAGAGATCATCTAGTCCAACTCCCCTGCTGAAGCAGGACCACCCAGGGCTTGTCAGAGCATGTTACTCAGGACTGCATCCAGGTGGGTCTTGAAAATCTCCAGAGAAGGGGACTCCACAACCTCCCTGGGCAGCCTGTTCCAGGGCTCTGTCACCCTCACTGTGAAGAAGTTTCTCCTCATATTTGAGTGGAACCTCTTATGTTCCAACTTGTGCCCGTTGCCCCTCGTCCTCTCACTGGCAACTACTGAAAAGAGTCTGGTTCCCTCCTCCCTCAGCCCGCCCTTGAGATACTTGTAGGCGTTGATAAGGTCTCCCCTCAGCCTTCTCTTCTCCAGACTAAAGAGTCCCAGCTCTCTCAGTCTCTCCTCATAAGGGAGATGCTCCAATCCTTGAATCATCTTTGTAGCCCTTCACTGGACTCTCTCCAGTAGTTCCCTGTCTCTCTTGAACTGGGGAGCCCAGAACTGGATGCAGTATTCCAGTTGTGGCCTCACCAGTGCAGAGTAGAGGGGCAGAATGACCTCCCTTGACCTGCTGGCCACGCTCTTCCCTATGCAGCCCAGGATTCCATTGGCCCTCCTGACCACAAGAGCACACTGCTTGCTCATTGTCATTTTGTTGTCCACCAGGACCCCCAGATCCTTTTCTTCAGAGCTTGACTCCAGCAGAAGCCACTTTCCATGATATTTGAAAAATCATGGCAGTCAGGTGAAGTCCCTGCAGACTGGAAGAAGGGGAACATCTCACCCATTTTTAAAAAGGGTAGAAAGAAGGACCCTGGGAACTACCGACCTGTCAGCCTCACCTCCATGCCTGGGAAGATCATGGAACAGATCCTTCTAGATGCCATGCTTGGGCACATGAAGGACAGGGAGGTGATCCAGGACAGCCAACATGGCTTTACTAGGGGCAGGTCCTGCCTGACTAACCTAGTGGCCTTCTATGATAGTGACTAGGTCAGTAGATAAAGGACGACCTATGGATGTGATCTATCTGGACTTCTGTAAGGCCTTTGACATGGTCCCCCATGACATCCTGCTCACCAAATTGGAGAGATATGGATTCAATGGGTGGACTGTTCAGTGGATAAGGAATTGGCTGGATGGTCACATCCAGAGGGTGGTACTCAATGGCTTTAAGTCCAGATGGAGAGCAGTGACAAATGGTGTCCCTCAACGGTCTGTGCTGGGACCAGTACTGTTCAACATTTTTATCAACGATATAGACATAGGGATGGAGTGCACCATCAGCAAGTTTGCGGACGATACCAAGCTGTGTGGTATTGTCAATACACCTGAGGGACGGGATGTCATCCAGAGGGACCTGGACAGGCTGGAGAGGTGGGCTTAGGTAAACCTCATGAGGTTCAACACGAGCAAGTGCAGGGTTCTGCACCTGGGCCGGAATAATCCTCGCCACCAATACAGACTGGAGGGTGAGGTATTGGAAAGCAGCCCTGAGGAAAGGGACCTGGGGGTGCTGGTGGACGAGAAGCTGGACATGAGCAGGCAGTGCGCACTTGCAGCCCAGAAGGCCAATCGCATCCTGGGCTGCATCAAAAGAAGTGTTGCCAGCAGGTCCAGAGAGGTGATTCTGCCACTTTGCTCTGGTGAGACCTCACCTGGAGTATTGTGTGCAGGTCTGGAGCCCTCAATATAAGAAAGAATATGGACCTGTTGGAGCGGGTCCAGAGGGGGGCCACAAGGATGATCAGGGGGTTGGAGCACCTCTGCTATGAGGACAGGCTGAGGGAGCTGGGGTTGTTCAGCCTGGAGAAGAGGATGCTCCAGGAGACCTTGTAGCAGCCTTCCAGTACCTGAGGGAGGCTACAGAAAGGCTGGGGAGACCCTGTTTACAAAGGCTGTCAATGACAGAACAAGGGGTAATGGCTTTAAACTGGAGAAAAGCAGATTTAGATTAGACATTAGGAATAAGTTCTTTACCGTGAGGGTGGTGGAGCACTGGAACAGGTTGCCCAGGGAGGTGGTTGAGGCCCCATCCCTGGAGATATTCAAGGTGAGGCTCGACGAGGCCCTGGGCAACCTGGTCTAGTTGGGGGTGTCCCTGCTGACTGTGGGGAGGTTGGACTAGATGACCTTGAAGGTCCTTTCCAACCCAGATGATTCTATGATTCTACAGATCAGTAACAATCCTACCTTTTTTTGTTATGCAGGGACTTCTTATGTAGTAATTAATAAAGTCATAGAAACATTACAAATATGCAAGTCTGGAGGGACAGTTTGAAATAGCAGAAGGCATAACTTGCACAGAAAGAAAACTTAAGCTTGGCTGCACCAGGCCTCAGGTGATGCATTGCAGCCCACACAGAGTCCAGAGGTAAGCCCTGCCCTTGAAGAATGCAGCTGTTTTAGCTGGCAGAAAGAAATCCCCCAAAACAAAAAGAATCTTGGTCCCCTAAGTTGTGCATGTAACTTAAAAAAATACATACTTTCCAGTAAGGAGAGGGTGAGTATTTCTGTAGCTGTCTGTGTAACCACAACACAGCCTGACCCTGGATACAGTGAATGGCAGTTAGTCAGGGTTATGCCAAGCAATTTGCCCGTGTGTGTTACTAAGAGTATTGCTATTATCTTAGTCCCCAGCTATAAGAGCTGCAAATTTAATTGAAGGATAAAAGTGTATTTCATTAGATAAAAGACAGAGATAACACTTTGAGCACTGGGTGCCTGAAAGTGTCCCACTTCTCTCCCAACCCTTGATGCAGTAAGCTGTTTTTTCTCTGCTCTCCTGTCTCTTCTATCTATAGACTACAGCTAGAATAAGGGAGGCTGGTCATGTGGAATGCTGCAATTTCTGAGGTTTAAACTAATTCTCCATAGAAAGAACCACTTAAAATTATCATCTTTATTTTGGTGGACAGACCAAGCAATAGTCAGACCTGTTTTGCACCTAAAGTGCAAAAACTTCAGTTATGAACTTTCCATTTAGTCTCCTTTTGCTTGAGCTGGTCTACTTGAGTTTCCACGTGGGATTCTCTCTATCACCACTAGATTCACATCAGCTCTCTGGATTAACATCAGCACTCTCCAATTTGTTTGCCCCTCCACTTAGAAACTTGGAAGGTAAATTACCAAGTGAGTTCCTTCTGGTTGCAGTGGGAAGGACCCCTCTGCCTACTGTCTCCATGTGGCTTTGTACTACAAGTACCTACTACCACTGGAAAAGCTGGCACACAGTGTTGTTCAGCTTTGCTGATCCATTGGACTTTTTTGCTAAAATTTCCTGTCACAAAGAGACTGGAGCCACAGATCATGGAAGTCTGTGGCAAACCAGGTGCTAAAGTGGCAGGATATGACAACAGCCCTGAGGATTCCCACCCGAAGGGGTGGGACTGCAGCTGAATCACAGAGCAAGTCCACAAGTTCAGCTTGGGGCAGAGCTCTGGGACCTACCCCCTGCCCCCTGGGAAGTTATGCCTCTCACAGTAAGCTACAGGATTCCAGGAGCCCGGGACGGTGTGCGGCCTGATGAGGGTGAGTCATGCCCCAGTATGAACAAAAGAAGTGTAGGTGTTTCCGTACCCCTCAGAAAATACTTCCAGACTGGGTCATGAGCAGTCACACAGGTCACCTCATCGCTCGCACCCCGTTGGAAACCATCGCTACGTTACTCAACGTAATGGCCTTCTCCAGCCACCATCAAGTGCAAGCATTGAGTTGTCCCCTCGGCCCATAGGTAGAGTGTGCATCAGTGGAACACCTGAGACCCTGCACCGGGTGAGCTCTAATCCACTTGCTCTGCGTTATCTTGTCTGAACTCCAGTGTTAAAAGTGTAGCTGTTGACTTAAAAGGCTTTTTTTGAAGCTTTTTGTGGGAGTGGTCTTTGCCTTCAGCTGTTACATGGAAAGTTGTGTGGTGCTAAAGGGTGGCAGTGTCTCTGAAGGGTTGGTACATTTTAGTAATGGGTAAAGTGACCACCTTCCATAAAGAACTCAAGAAATTTTCAGTAAGGTTCTGTATCTTTGTTGTTTTTCCCAACCTTTCTTTGCTTATGCTGTACTTGAAAGCTCTCAAACATAATTCAAATCCTGTTGAAATACAGGGAAGGTAACTAACCACCCTCCTACCAAGAGAGGTGCTAAATACAATCATCTCTAGTTCAGTTAGCAGCTGAACAATGCTCTTAATTGTTTAATGTGTTTATGTTCAATATTGCTGTCAGGTGTGAGAAGTCTAATAATAAAAACCCCATATAATTTACTGCTTTCTCATTGATTAAGACTGCCATACCCAACTTCAGTGCAGAAGATGGAACAGCATTAAAAGATTTGAAAACCTCTTGCAACCCTAATACTGCTAAATTGTTTTCCAGTTCTAACTTATTATATTGGAATTATATCAGGAACAGCTATATCAGAAACAATTTCACTACAATGTAGCTTGTGCCCTAGCTGTTCCCCTTACAGATGCTATTATGTTACTATTGTATTGTAGGTAGGATTATACTTGCTCTTTTATACTGTGTAGTTCCTGGGTTTATGCTTGTGTTAAACAACCCCTCCTGCATTAAAGGATAATAACTTCATGTATTGCTTAAAAGAAAAATTTTGGATGACTAGGTAGGGAAGACAAATGATACTTAAAAAAAAAAAAAGAAAGCAGCACTGGAATTTGGGTACATAGAAGAATGAATTCCAGTGAGTCTGATGTTCTTGCATAATTAGGCAACATGCTTTGTAACAGGCATCTCCGGAACAAGAAAAGGAAAAATACCAACACTAATGCCATTCAAAACAGCAGTAAATGCTAAAGTGTCCACTTTTGTTCACAACCACAAATGAAGGCAAAACCACTCAGTAATTGCAAATGACAAAACCAATATGTAGTCCCTTTATTTCCCTCTCCCTGTTTTGATTTACCCTTAAAACACTTTCTAGAAAAACACCTTCTTCAGGAATGCTGCCCGGCTTTCCAATCACATCAGCCTTTTGGGGTCAATTTTTTCTAGGTGCACTAGAGGCTTCAGTTGCTCAGCAAAGTTCCTCATGTCGTCAGAGACAACGTCCTGTCCCGCCGGGGCGACCACGTTGAGCTCCACCAGGTAGGAGAGGGAGAGCGGCTCGATGCTCTCCGTGTTCCCCGGCATCAGGATGCGGAAGATCTTGTAGACCACGATCTTCATGATGCCCTTGCGGAACACGTGCCCTTTGGCCACAAACTCGTGGTCCATGCGGAAGCCCATCTCCACCAGGAAGTCCGTCAGGTTGTCCGACGTGGCGATGTCCACGCAGTTGCGCACCAGCGCGTGGCGGTTCTTGTCGCCGATCTCCGGCTGGCCCAGGTACCGCAGGTGCCAGGGCATCCCGCTTTTGTCCATGGAGCGCCGGGCCCGCAGCACGAAGGGGCTGGCCTGCTGCCCCTTCAGCAGGAACACCATCTCGTGGTCCAGGAAGGTCTCCGGCTCCATGTTGTCGCACAGGCCGCGCAGCCGGTGCAGCAGGCTCTCCAGGCTCTGGTCCAAAACGCTTCCTGCAGCGGGCGGAGACAGCGCCTCGGTCACCCCTCCGGTCCCCTTCCCGCCTGAGCGGGGCCTTCTCCACAGCCCGGCGCCCACTCAGCCCCCTCAGCCC